GGTTACTGTTTCCTGCCGAAGCAAATTTCCCCAAATCCGACTCTTTTAGCCTGTTTTCACCAAAATAGGAAAACAGTTTCAGTCCTTCCTATTTTTCTTTAACGTTTTATATATACTTGTTAAAATTTGAAAAAAAGAATTAACAATAAATTCATGTTTACAATATTTGGGTTGGATTAAAATTTCTGCGCTCTGTAATTTTTGTTGGAATATATTTTATGTTGTCTTAATAATAGTGTATGCAGTACTGTCCAGAAATAACCTTAAAAAACCCGCTGTTAACGTAGGTCAAACCTCGGTCTAATGGCGATTGAACCGAGTTCAGACCGAGGTCGAACCGCGGTGAGACGGAGGTTAAACCTCGGCCTAACTCGGTCTGGCAGACATTTCTTAAGATTTTTTCGATTTGGATATTGTATTGTCCTTCTCACCTGTTCATAACATTTCGTTCGAAAGCGAACGGCCTACGCAAAGGTATTTTTTCCCTTGCAGTAGGCTACTTTTTCTATCGGTCGACCGCAAGCGAACCGCAACCTCAGTGATTATTTCTGGGCAGTACTGTTGCCACAACTAGATATTTGAGATACCTTCTTTGGTTTTCTGTTGTTCAGTGTTATCCAGTAAAATCCATCTTCGGCTTCAGGATTAGCATGCAATATCGACACGCAATCGTAACCTGGATTAGATATTTCTCCAGTCTGACCATCTAAGGTAAAGTTAAATTAAAGGAATAGCTGTAAGTACTTAGATTATGAAACGCGAAATGCAAATGACACACTATTGCCTCCCAATACGAAACAACTTTTTGCAAAATCCGTAATACAGAAATAGCTTGGTTTCTCGAGATATGCGTTCTAAGTGATATTATGGGAAATTTGCATACTTTTCGTGTTTGATGTAACTTTGGTCTAGTGTATCTTCCCAACCGCGTACTTCCATACTAAAAATACACGGATCGACTTTGTCTTTCCTGAAATATTAAAAAATAAAATTCGTTTTACCATCGTTTGTCGTACTCCATCCAAATTTCCCTTCATCTTTACTGCAGACCAATAAAGTGTTCTTTCCTTTACGATCATTGACCAAAATTAATTCCCCAAAATTTCTTTCATTGCATGGGCCAAGTTTAGATTCCGTTGTAACTTTTATTTTCTGTAAAATACACAATCAATGAAATCGCTGAAAAAGTACTGCAAAATTTTTATTTGTTCGACGTTCAGATCCAAAGTAAAAATATTAAAATTAAATAAAATCAATTCCATTGTTCTAGCGTTAAAACCTGGTTAGTTATTGTGTTACAAAAATCGTCCATTTTCCATCATTGAGTGTTTCTGCTGTTTTCTTTACTATGGTGACTGCACATTCATACCACACTTTTTTAGCTCAAATTGATTAGCTTAGCATAGCAGGAAGAATAACTTAAAAGTTTTAAAAAATGTTATCTAATCAAAGATTTTTCTTCCCCATCCGCTAGTTCTGATAGATATTTCTATCATTTTGAAATATTATTGTCGGCGATGCGATGATTCATATCATCATGCATGTTTATACAAAACAACACTGAAATGTGAACAGTGAACTAATCACTGTAAACCGTTTTCGTTTGCATTTCTGGCAATATTTTATAGATTAGGTCGCTTTGAAGTGTAATATTGAATACTAAATGAATTGCATTCAATTTGAAGTGAATATCATAGCTAATCGGCAACATATCAATCTAAAAAAAACATGTATCTACTAGGGAGAATTTCCTCTTAAAAAAGGTGTAAGAAGAATTAGTAAGGACCTACATCAGGGCGTATATAAGCGCTAATTTATATGTGATGCATTTGAGCTCATGCGAGTAAATATTGCGTTTCAAGCAATGTTCGAAAATTTGTTGAAATAGGTAAATTTTGATCTGGTTTTCGCTTTTGACGACACCGATGTCAAAAAGTATGACAAATCATCCCCTGTTATTCGATTATTATATCGTAATAATATACAAAATAAGGTTTTGCAACTTCCAGTCCAGCATTAAATTTTCCCGCTCTTTTGTTTACATTGTTTTATTATATGGCATGCAAGCGTCACCTCCGGTGAAATGGAGCTCAGTGATTGGCGGAGAAGAATTTTCAGCGTTCCATTACTTTCGCGTAGGCTATCTTTAAAATAGTGAATGGAGGAATGCTTGAATGGGGAATGCAGGAATGGGGGAATGCGAGAACGGGAAAATGGGGACCGGGGAACAGGGGATTCAAGGCAAGGGTAACGGAGAGAAGGGGGAACTATGGACTCATTGAATAGCTAAACTATTAGTAACAGTCTTGAGCCTAAAAGGAACAACTGTTAGTATATATTATCCACATCATAAGCGTGCATACAGTATTATGCATCTCTTCATCTAGGATGCTAATTACAAATATATTGATTGTTATTAATGCCAACCTGGCGAAGTGTTATTGTGAAACTCAGCTACTCTTGTATTACTTTTAACCAAAGTGAAAAATCATAATATACTTGCTTTTCAGTGAAAACTAAAACTATAAATAGCCTAATGGCATTGTTGTGTGACTTTTAAAATCCTGTGAAAAGTTAAAACTATATAAGCTATTGTATTCATTTAGTTGGCATGCAAATTTTCATTTCAATAGTGATATCTATATTCAAAATATGCCATACAATAAACTTTTTATTAACCTCGCTTACGAGGTCTTCTCCCTCTTCTCGCTCTTCGCGCTAGGTCTGTTCAAAACGACCTCGACCCGATATTTCTCAGTTAATAAGAAATTAATAATTGTATAGATTACGCAATTATTGTGTTTCGTTGTCGCTTTTTTTACATTAAAATAATATTAAATTACTCATTTACTTCCTGTACAGGGTGTCTCAAAAACAACGCAACAACTTAAATATGCAAGACATTAATACAGCTCTAAAGTACAATAGATAAGCACCTCTGGGAATTGAAAATAGCTTGTTAGCTGAACTGTGGTGCAAACCCGAACAATATTAATATTCTTGCATGCAAAAAAACGCATGCATGAGTGGTTGCATGCGTTTTTTTGAGACACCCTGTAGATGGAATAATACGTGGGACAAAACGGCACCACGAGGCGGACATATAGCCTGAAGTTTCGGAAATATAGTAAAGTAGAGAGAAGCAAACAGTAGCTGCAAGGTAAGTTCAGTTTTACTTGTCTGTGATAAATGGGAACATATCACTTAAAGTATATACACATGCATATACATACAGTGAACTGGATATTGCATGTTGTGTTCATAGTGTATATATTATTAAAATACAAAACACGAAGCGTCCGCCCGCTATAAAATCATCCCGGTTTGAATATGAAATGCACGTATTTAGTATTTGCAAGACAAACGTTTTCGGTAGTCCTTTGTCAATGTCTCTCCTTTTGTAAATACCGACGAGGTGGTTGCATTACGTACAAATAAAAGTGCTATACAGCATGCGAGTCATAAATATATTGAAAGAAGGAATTAACATCAATTTAAGCAATAGAAAATTACAAATCTGTGGTATTTCACCCGCTGGAAGAGAGTGAATTAAAATTTTCGTTGCTAGGGCAAAACGAAACTACAGATATCCGTTTCAGCTCGTGTGGATTATTTATAACAACTTTGATTGTTAACATGGTTCGACATCCGACATTTGACATAAACCCGGCTCATCACCCCCACCTACTTATCTCTCAAAATGCTTTCATAAAATTGAATTGTGTACAATGGGTACACTGAACATATTTCTGTCTTACGAATACGCTAATATAAATTGGTTGAACCATTGGCCATTCTTAATTAATTCGCCTCCATCTTCTTTTAACGCATTGTTTAACGTCATTATAAACATTACGATGTTCTCAAAATATCTGTGCAATGAGTGTGTTCTGATCAAAATTTATGCAAGAATTTGCCACAAGGGCTGTTTGAATTGTGATAATTTCTCATACGATAAGATTAGTTGAACCTCAAGTTAATATTTCAATGTAATTAATGTGAATCTAAAGCTCACCGCACACGGCACAATGAGGGAAGTTACACGCGAACTTGTAGATCGTATCAAATTGGTTGCAACAAAAATTCTCATGTGCGTGGAAGAATTCCGGTACAATCTCTGGCCTTTGCTTGCTTAAGAAATTTTCTCGTTCGTTGAACGCACACTAGCAAAACCAATAACAAAAGATCGCAGGCCGCTGGGATTTATTAGGGTCGCAGTTTTTTATGCGTTGGCGTTGCAGCTTTTTATACACCCTGTATGCCGTAAACAGCCTAAAGCCGGTTTTCCACTAGCGATGTTTTTCGCGCGAATGGACATTTACTTTTGTTCCAGAGCTCTCAACTGCAACAATGTGGAATAAATTGCTCAAATACAAAGGAATAAAGTCGAATGTCGAGATGTCGAGACAAGCGTTCTCATAGCAGTTGTATTAGCTGGTTAATAATAATTGGCTAACATGAATAAGGTGTATATTTACGTGTAATTGATATTGAATATAAATTGATTTGCAGATGAAAATACGATTAAAACAACCATTAAAATAACCAATGTTATTTTTCTGAGCAGCATAAAAAAATGGGACTTTTACTTACCCCATGGCCATGCACTCTCAAGACCACAAAGCATAGGATCACAGCGAATATCCACGAAATGGACATCATGGTTATTCTTAAACCTACTATTTTGCTCATTCAGTTCTCTGCCCTTGTATGTTGACTATCAAACTTATTGTTTTGTTTAATGCTGGCAGAATATAAATACGTAGGAAGTGTATTAAAAATAAGCTTTTTGCTGAAACGAAATAAATTATCTTTATCATCTCAACAATGAATTATTGCACAAGGTTCGTAACCTCAATAATTTGATCTTCATTCTGCGCAGGACTCAATAGATAATAACTAAATTACGGTGAAAATTTTATTTAAACAGTAAGTTAAATTCACAAACTGAAGAAATCAATTTGAGCTCAACGCAGTGCATTCCTAACTCAGTTGCTGCAATCATTGTTTAATACATACATGAAGTTGTCAACCAAAGAATGCATAAAGTGTAAAACGTCAATATCGACGTCACCTCATTTTAAACATTAATCTCTATCATTATAAACAAATTGCAAAATATTGGTAAAAGGAAATGAATTATGAAGATCCCTCTATATTTTTTCAGAATGAAAATGTGGAGTTCATGGTTAACTTGACACAGCAAGCTATCGGTGTACTTGGATGGGTAGTGCATGATACCGCAGAAAGTAGTGATTAAGACGTTTTAACCCGAAAATCTATTTTAAAATTCGATGTGCTTCTGAATTTCGCGATTGAACAATTACTCATTTATTTCATGTAAATCAGATAATACGGGGACCAAAGTCGCCAAACGCCACCACGATTCCGACATATAGCCTGAAGTTTCGGAAATATAGTAAGTAGAGTAAAGCACAGAGTAGCTGCCGGTTAAGTTCAGTTTTTCTTGTCTGTGATAAATGGCAACATATCATTTGAAGTATACAAATGCATAAACTAGTGAATTGTACATGGAAATGTTGTGTGGGTTATGGTATAGCTATAGTGTGTGACTATATTAACTCACAAAACACGAAGTGTCCGCCTATAAAGTCATCCGGATTTGAATATTAAATCCAAGTATTTTATAGTACTTCCAAGACAAAAACAATTCAACCGTTGTCTGAGTCCTTTGTCAACATCTCTCCTGTTCTAAATATAATACCGACGAGGTGTTGCATGCGAGTCATAAATATACTAAAGAAGGAATTAATATCACTTGATAATTTAAGCAATCAAAAATTACAAATCTGTGGTATTTCACTCGCTGGATGGAACAAGGGGAATTAAAATTTTTCGTTGCTAGGGGAAAACGAGACATCAGATATCCCTTTCAGCTCGTGTGAATTATTTATTGCAACTTTGATTGTTGTCTGTTGACATGGTTCGACAGATGACATTTCACAGAAATCCGGCTAATCAAAATTCCTTTGCGATGAATGTGTTCTGTTCACAATTTATGCAAGAATTTGCCTCAAGGGCTGTTTGAATTATGACAATTGCTTATAGGATAAGATTAGTTCTAACGCCAAGCTAATATTTCAATGTAATCTTCACCTAAAGCTCACCGCACACGGCACAATAGCGGAAGTTACATGCGAACTTGTAGATCGTAGCAAATTGGTTACAACAAAAATGCTCGTGCGCGTGGAAGAATTGCGGTACAATTTGTGGCCTTTGCTTGCTTTAAGAACAACTTCTCGTTCGTTGAACGCACACTGGGAATTATTGGGGTTGCAGTTTTTTATACACCCTGTATACCGTAAACAGCCCAAACTGCCCCAAAGTGATGTCGGGACAATTTGATTTATTTCGTTTTGCTTATTATTTTTTACTCCTACTGGTTAGTTGGAGAAGGGATTTGTCTTGAACAGTACAATATTCAACAGGGCCAGTGGTATTAGCTAGTTAGTAATTATTAGCATCGTTTACACTACACTCGATTTATTGGCACGGCACGGCAAAAATGGGTACCCGTGCCCATTTCATCTGTGCTCGGCCTTTGTCTTGGTAGCCTGAACACTTATAAAATTGAGTACGGGTACCAATTTTAGCCGTGCTGTGCCGATAAATTGAGTGTAGTAAAAACGGGGCTATTGGCTAAAGTGATTAACGTGTATATTTACGTATATAATTGATTTTGAATATAAATTGATTTGTAGATGAAAATATATTAAAACAACCATTAAAATAACCAATGTTATTTTTATGAGCAACATAAAAAAAATTGGGACTTATACTTATCCCATGACCATTTTACAAATTAACCTCTATGATTATGAACAAATTGCAAAATATTGGTTATGTAATTGAATGATGAAGATCCCTATAAATTTTCGGTATGGAAATGTGGAATTCTTGGTTAACTTGACAGAACAAGCTATGAGTGTACATGGGTGGGGTGTGACACCCCAGAAATTGATGTTTATCAGACGTTTCAACCCGAAAATCTAATCTCTGGTTCACAATTGTCCATTTCTGTACCGCAAAATCTTAAATAAGTTCAATTTTTCTTCTGAATACGCTTTCTGCAATCTTTTGACAATTCATCATACACATCTGACCTTTGTGAAATGGCCATTTTAAGGCTTAAAGTATACTAATATGTAATATTTACTTATATACTTCTTTATTTGCATTTTCCCACTGATTATGAACATGCATAAGAGCACGTTTGCTGTCGCGTAACGCAACATCCAATTTTTGTTTATTAAAGATTTTGCACTAGCCGCATGCACGTCTTTAAGCTTTAGAAAATATTGCATATAAAAAATGATACACCTGAATAGCAGGTACGAAATTGACAAAGAAGGAAAGGAATTTTGTGGCGTTAACAGAAAGGCGCTGATTATGGTATGAATGTGTGCACGGTTGATAGAAACTGAGACAATGTTGCTGAAATCTGTGCAAAATATATTTTGCTATACATCTTTTTCCGAAAAAAAAAAATATTTCGTATCGAAACGAGTCCTGTAAAGAAAAGCATGCGCTAAACGAAATGAAATGAAATGATACAGATGCAGCTTTTCCCTCTGGTTTCGCAGTGATTTAGCCCGACAAAACATTATATTATATTGGCAAGAAATAATAGATAAGATATAAATAGGAACATATCATTTAAAGTACTAGTGAACTGAATATTGCATGTTGTGTTGCCAGTGTTGGTCATGGTATAGCTATAGTGTGTAACTATATGCTATATTACCTTACAAAACAAGAAGCAACCGCTCGCTATAAAATCATCCGGGTTTGAATATGGAATGCAAGTATTTAGTATTTGCAAGACAACCATTGTCGGTAGTACTTTGTCAATATCTCTCTTGTTTTAAATACCGACGACTGAGGTGGTTGCATTGTTGACATGGTTCGACATCCGACATTTGACATAAACCCGGCTCATCACCCTTGCTTACTTTATCTCCTAAAATGCTTTCATATAATTGAATTGTGTACAATGGGTACACAGAACATATTCCTGTCTTACGAACACGCTAATATAAATTGGTTGAACCATTGGCCATTCTCAATTAATTCGCCTCCATCTTCTTTTAACGCATTGTTAAATGTCATTATAAAAATTACGATGTTCTCAAAAATTCTATGGAATGAGTGTGTTCTGTTCACAATTTATGCAAGAATTTGCCACAAGGGCTGTTTGAATTATGACAATTGCTCATACGATAAGATTAGTTCAAACGCCAAGCTAATATTTCAAAGTAATGTGAATCTAAAGCTCACCGCACACGGCACAATAACGGAACTTACATGCGAACTTGTAGATCGTAGCAAATTGGTGACAAAAAAATGCTCGTGTGCGGGGAAGAATTGCGGTATAATCTGTGGCCTTTGCTTGCTTTCAGAACATTTTCTCGTTCGTTGAACGCACACTGGCAAACCAACAACAAAAAATCGCAGTCCCGTAAGAATTATTGGGGTTGCAGTCTTTTATACGTAGGGGTTGCAGTTTTTATACACCCTGTAGCCGTAAACAGCCTAAACTGATGTCGGGACAAGCGTTCTCCAACTGAATACTACCCGGGAAGCGGGCTTATTTTTTTGCTTATTATCTTTCATTCCCAGAAGAAGGGATTCGTCTTGAACACTACAATATTCAGCAGGACCAGTCATAGCAGTTGTATTATTAGCTAAATAATAATTATTGGCTAACGCGAATAAGGTGTATAATTACGTAAAATTGATATTGAATATAAATTGGTTTGTAGATGAAAATACGATTAAAACAACCATTAAAATAACCAATGTTATTTTTCTGAGTAGAATAAGAGATTAGGACTTATACCTACCCCATGACCATGCACTCTCAAGGCCACAAAGCATAAGATCACAGCGAATATCCACGAAATGGACATCATGGGTATTCTTAAACCTACTATTTAACCTACTTAAACAGTAAGTTAACACACAAAAAGAAAACAATTTAGGCTCAACGGCAGTGCATTCCTAACTCAGTTGGTGCAATCATTGCCGCTTAATACATGCATGAGGTTGTCAACGAAAGAATGCACGAAGTGGAAAACATCAATGAATGACGACACCTTATTTTAAACATTAACTTGTATGATTATGAACAAATTGCAAAATATTGGTGAAGCAATTGAATTATGAAGATGCCTCTATATTTTTTCAGTATGAGAATGTGGAATTCATGCGCAACTTGACACAATAAGCTTGATCAGTGTACTTGGGTGCCGTATGTGTAATATTTTGTCATATTTACTTAAATACTTCTATGTTTGCATTTTCCCATTGATTATGAGCATGCCTGCATAAGACCACGTTTGCTGTCGTGTAACGCAACATCCGAATACTGTTTAATAATTAACTTTGCACTAGCCGCACGTCTTTGCTTGAGAATTATATTGCAAATGAAACTTGATAGAGGTGAATAGTAGGCACGAAACTGGCTTGGAAGGAAGCGAATTAACGTCGCGTTAACAGAAGAGCACTGATTATGGCGTGTGAGAGTATAGTGACTTAAGCCGCACAAATAAGTCACCAAATCCTGACAGGGGTGCACATAAGAGTGGGAGTAAATTTCAAAAATTCTCTTTGAACATTCTGCCAAAATACTTTCGCCCCCACGCTTATTATGCCAGTAAATACAGGAGGAATGCGTTCTTTCAATCAAATAACAAAACTAAAAAAGTCGGGCCGGGGCCTAAGCCTAATTAATATTTCAATTTATCAGACTATAATAGACTATAACTCTTGTTTACCAGATGTTAGATTCAATGGTCATTCCAGATAATATTATGTTGTTGTATGGTTTATTAAAGGTTAACGGTGCAAAATACAAATACACGAGAATTACACAGTTAAACATGAATTACTTAGTACTGGTTAGTAACATATATACACGGACAACCTACTTATAAATATCTATATGACAGAACACTGGTATCAGGTGAAAAACGTTACAACTATCGAACACAACAAAGTGCCCAAACAAAACCGCTCGATTCTTTTTCCATGGCGTCCCCAAAAAAGACGCCAAAACCTCGGAAGACCGTTTGCTAATAATTATTTTAATAATTAGTTATTTTCGTACTTGGGTAATGTCAACAAAATGCAACGTTATGAATCCTGTTAGGGCCTGTTCACATGAAGCGAGTTATCCCGGCTACGTAAGGTGAAAACTGCATAATTATAATGACCTCGTCTAGCCGAGATAACTCGCTCCATATAAACAGCTCCTTAGTTACATCTTAATTCGGCATCGAAGCATTTCAGCGAACAAAAATTTTCCAAAAGTCATTTTTCGATGCTGGGTATTTGAAATCATCGCATTCCCAGCGACCACCTGATTTCTCAATTAACCAGTAAAATTTGGCGGGAACAAACGCTGTATGATCGAATAAACGATCATGGACATGATATCCACTATGATGCCATTTATTAACTTTGAATTTTCCCCATTCACGACCCCACTGAGAACACTGACTGGCCAGCATTGAATTGTCATCAGGTAAACGATAATAAGATCCACAGCTTTTGGGAAGGGTGTTTGTCTGAGCAGTAAAATATTTAATAACTTCTTGACCAAGATTGTTGGTTCTATTCGTAGCGATATCAAAGACTCGTCCCGGATTCTTTTTCTGACAAAGAAATCTGAGTTGATTGAACCACATTTTCGATCTCAAGACATAAAGAGCATATGTTGAAAGAGCAAGCTTTTGGGTTTCGTATTCACTAATTTGTCGATAGTCATTTGCCAGGGACCAATCCATTCCTCTAGGCTGATTCAGAACAAGATTGCTAACCAGAGTCCAGCCACCTACAAAATTGAAGATATGTTGGGCCAATAGACCTTTCCCCTTTTAGCAGCACGCGCGCAATGCATGACGGTAGTTGATTATCAAAATTCATTTTAGTAATTTAGTTGTCATGGCGCAGTGTTCGGAAGTGATTTTGTTTCAAAGGGAATCTTGCCGATTTTCAGCTTTTTTATTTCAACGAAAAGTATAACGCTTGTATCTTGAGACAATTATAGCTCCAAGCGATATGTACAGGGAAAAATAGAAGGGATCAGGGGTGGTTTTAACGAAAAAAACGGCTTTCCGAACACCAAGTGTGAACAGTTTATTCGGCGAAAATGGCCTTCGAACACGGTTCCATGTCACTTTTAAGCGGTGAGTCTTTGTATTATGTAGCGATCGGATGATTATTTTGATATGTACACAATCTCATTTATGTTATATTTACGTATGACCATTTTTGAATCCGTTCACACATTTTCTTCGCTATTTATTGTTGACTGAATCATGGCATGTGCCTTCGATTTTCGGCTATTATTTCGTTCATATATAACCTTGCTTCGGGTCGTTTGGCTTTGTCTGTTTTGGCGCGAAAAATACAAACATTTGTGACCGGTGTAGCAGTTTTAGTCAACAGCTGTGATATTTTCGCTTGTTACCTGGAATTTTACTTGTTTTTGTCTTGCAAACCTTTGAAAGTCGTGGTTCTTATCTACTCGTACTTGCCAGCAGTAAAGTAGGTTCTTATAAACCATTCTAAAATTCGAAATTAGTTGTATTTCTAGTTAAAAAAATCGTGTCTAAAATCGCTAAATATTATAAATAGTTAATATTAACTTAGATAGTTTTTAAATTTAGTTGAATTTTTAATATTAGGTAGAATTTTTTTAAATTGAATTAATAAATAGAGTATAATATTTCATACAGATAATTTTATATTAATATTTAAGTAGTAAAACTATAAATAAAGTTATAATAATAATAGACATAAATATATATATCTGGCAAAAATGGGAGATGAACCTAGCACCTCAAAAAATGCAGACAATTCTCAGGTAGAAACCACATGTAAAGTAAAGCGTGGGGGAATCAACTGCTGTGTTCCTCATTGCACAAATAATAATATAAAGAATCCAGAACTTTCATTCCACAAGCTTCCCAAAGATCAAGCTTTACAAAAAAAATGGGTCAAACTACTGAAAACAAAAGGGCTAGTGAGCATTGGTCAAAACACAAGAGTATGTTCAACTCATTTTCCTGGAGGGAAAAAAACATATTTAAATAACATACCTACTGAGTTAACTATTCGTCAGAATGTCAAAGCTCGAAGGCAGCTTTTTAGACAAGATATTTCACAAACTTTTCATATAAAAGAATGCCCAGAAATCGAAATTACATCATCCACTAACAACAAAGATATAGATGTGAGTAAAGCAAATGACACCACTATTTCACCCATGAATTCATGCGAGTTGGAAATGAAAGAAGAAATTAACACTCTAAAAACAAAGTGTGAGGAACTGCAGAAAAAGGTTGAAGCTGCTGATAAATGTGCCTTTCGGCTAGAAAGATTTATTGGTAGCGACCATGATTTTAAGTTTTACACTGGATTTCCTGACTATGCAACTTTTAGTGCCTTTTTTGAATATCTTTCACCCACATGTCAAAATTTGATATACTATGGTTCTAATACCACTTTAAATTCTGCAAGTCAAACAAAGCATGGCAAGGCTAGGATATTATCTCCCCAACAAGAACTATTTATGGTGCTGAGCCGAATGCGCTGTGGGTTGTTGTTGGAGGATGTGGCACACAGATTTGCTCTATCAACCTCACATGTTCCAGAATTTGGATTACATGGGTAGCCTTTTGCACCAAAGATTACTTGCCCTACCAAATTTGGCCAAGCCGTGATTTTGTGGACAAAAATATGCCGGAATGCTTCAGAAAAAATATCCTGCAACCAGAGTAGTCTTAGATTGCACAGAATTATTTATTGAGCGCCCAGCTTCCTGCAGGGGTCAGTCAGCTACATTTTCTTCATATAAAAATCATAACACAGCAAAAGGGTTGATTGGAATTTCCCCAAGCGGATATCCTAGTTTTGTGTCCTCCTTATATGCTGGTCGAATCAGTGATAAAAAAATAACTAAAGATTGTGGAATATTAGAACTACTAGAACCTGGGGATCAAATCATGGCAGACCGAGGCTTTGATATTGAAAGTGATCTCCCACAAGGAGTCCTTCTTAACATTCCACCTTTTCTTGATGGAAAGGAACAATTGTCCCTAGAGGAGGAGTTGACCACAAGGAAGATAGCATCAGTTAGGGTCCATGTTGAAAGGGCTATTTCCCGAATAAAAAACTATCGAATTTTACACCAAGTGGTTCCAATAACACTAGCAAAAGACCTGGATAAGATTTGGGCAATTTGCACTTATTTGACACTGTTCCTACCCCCATTAATTGTTGAGAAGAAGTAGAAACGGTAACATTGTTATTGGCTTGTTAGGCGTTTTGTAGTACATGAAGTATTTTCAAGAATTTGAAACAGCACTTAAGCTTGCTTAACATATGGTGTGCTGATGTTTGTACAAATGTTTGCTGATTATTTTGTTTTCAAATTCAGTTGTAGAATGCTTTAAAGCACACAAAATATAAAAAATTGCATGTTATAAGTTTAACACATTCATTTTTCCATTATATACTCAAAGTAGAACTCTGATAACTGTGGTAACATGGTTTTCTCCCAAAGTTCCTTGTCAAAATAAATTCTTTCAACATGCAAATCACTGTTTGTGAAAACAACAAAATCTGACCAGTTAAGCCCAAGTATGGCCAGGCATCCTTGCACTTGATAGTAATAACTGTGGTTATTTTTTAACAATATTTTATCACCAATTTTAGTAAGAAAAAAGTTCTTGTCATCACAAGCCTCATTTATTGTGCAATCTCGCTTAGAGTATGGGCATTTTATCTCTCCAAGTCCTAGTGCAGAGGTAGATTCACCTGAATCATGGATGAGGAAATCTGGGCTGGCCCCTAACCAAGGCGATGCTTTGTCGACAACAAACCCACACTGTGAACAGACATCAACACTGTTTTGCTTG